GGGTTAAAGATTTAATTATTGTTAAAATATGATTAAATTTTGCCTTTCACTATAGGCTTACCACTGCACGATTTTTCAATGAAAAAAGTCTGTCGAGTGGTTTTCTTATAGTTCAAACACCGCTGAACCCGAATCTGAAATTCGTTTTTTTTTTCATTAATCGTTTTTTTAAAATAGCCTGTGTCGGGAGTAGGTAAAATCGCAAATCGGATGAAAAATGGGATTAGGCTCTTTTCACATTTAAAGTCCTGTAACGTCGCCAGTTTTCAATAAAAAAATCTGAAAATTGGTATACTTATGGTTTTGACATCGCTGAACTCGAATCTGACATTTTCATTGATGACAGCTGTCAAAATAGCTGTCAAAAATCCCAAAAAAAAAACGGTTTTTTATTAAAAATGCCCATTTTATGGTTATTTCATGCGCTGAATCTGAATTTGATGCACTTTGAAGTATTTATTTTCATAAAACCGAAATCCAAATCACTCAATAAAATGTACAAATGATTGAACTGTCAAATTTCAAGTTCCAAACAAAATTTTACAGTTAGTTTACAACTGTCATACATCAAAACCTCTAATATACAATAAAAATATTGTAAAAGTCATTGAAAAATGAAATTTTTATTTTAAAACAAATGTTGATAGTCAATTGACAGCTGTTTGACAGTTGTCAATTATTAAAAAAATTTATTTTAACATCAAATTCAGATTCAGCGCATGAAATAACCATAAAATGGGCATTTTTAATAAAAAACCGTTTTTTTTGGGATTTTTGACAGCTATTTTGACAGCTGTCATGAATGAAAATGTCAGATTCGAGTTCAGCGATGTCAAAACCATATATATACCAATTTTCAGATTTTTTTATTGAAAACTGGCGACGTTACAGGACTTTGAATGTGAAAAGAGCCTAATCCCATTTTTCATCCGATTTGCGATTTTACCTACTCCCGACACAGGCTATTCTAAAAAAACGATTAATGAAAAAAAAAAACGAATTTCAGATTCGGGTTCAGCGGTGTTTGAACTATAAGAAAACCACTCGACAGACTTTTTTCATTGAAAAATCGTGGAGTGGTAAGCCTATAGTGAAAGGCAAAATTTAATCATATTTTAACAATAATTAAATCTTTAACCCTCTTGCGGCACGGGTTAATTAAAAAAAAAAATCTAAAAAAATTACCAAAAAATTTTTTTTCCCAAACTACAACTTTTTGGGGGGTGCGAGCAAAAAAATTCGCACATCGCCCAAATAACGGACACCCTAATGTACATGGTTAATTACAAGTTTGCAAAGTCTATTAAAATGGTACCGTAAACACGGGTGACTTTGCACCTCGCGGGTGACTTTAGCCCTTTTATGAAAAATTTTTTCGCGCTCGATAAAATTAACATTTATAATTTGTTGGTCTAAACCTGTCAATTGAGCGATTCTATTGAGTTTATATTACAGGAAAATCAGTGTTTAAAAAAAATAAATGGGATTTATTACACTTTAAAGTTGTATATATTGCATTAGTGCAAAACTCTTAAAAATACACGCGTTTCAATTTCTATATTATGCGCAATTCTTTGAAATGATGATCCTTGGTTAACTACAGGTTGATTTTTTATTGTTTTTATCGGTAATCCCTTGCAATTGCTATATGTCGCTGCTAACATATGTCTAATAAAAATAAATTAAAATATTGAGTTAATTTTATACGGAAAATACAATGTGAGAGTCTCACAGTGAGACAAAGTAACCCGCAACCAGGGGGTAACTTTGCACACCCAGTTTTTAATTTTAATTTTTGAAATTCAGCCCTATGTAAGATTATAACATAGTTATTATGAAAGAGCAACTCAAGACTCAAAGTTTGGTATACAATATTTAATGTTTATGATTTTTAAAACTACAAAAATGTTAAGATTAAGTTTGAAAGTGAGCTAAAGCCACCCGTGTTTACGTTATTTAAAAATTATAAAGAAATCAACGGTTCTGAAATAATTTGAAAAAAACTAAAAAGCTTTCAAAACCAAAATCCGTTAGAACCACAGACCTACAAACAGGTAGGTAGGTAGGTCTGTGGTTAGAACCTTATTCCTGGTAGGTATTACCAAAGATAATACATTATCTATTATCTTTGGGTATTACATCTAAACTAACTTTGGGTTTTTTATTAGCTTGGCTACAATGACAATTGTACGCGTTTGCTTGTTTTTTATTTTTTCACAAAGTTGGTAGGTATGTCATTATATATTTGTTATATGTATGTCATTCAATTTTGAAACAGCATAAAAACTGTCAGAATATTTTTTGATTGCGACCTAAAATTTTGATAGAAATAAAAACGAAACATTCACCAAGCTTTAACTAAAATCAACTTACGTAAAACTTACTTTTTTTCAAAATTCCCAGGAACATCGAAGTTAACAATTTTTTTTGTTTTGACAGATTTTTGTTTTTTTTTCAAATATTTCAAGAACCGCTGTTTTTTACAATTCTTTATTTTTATTTAAATAGATTTTTACTTTTCTCTGATATAACCGAACTTGTAGCTCTTCAAATAAAAAATATAATACAGGGTGCACCAATGGGGTAGTTAAATTTTTTCTGACCTATACTTTTTATGGTTTTATTCAAGGCGTTTTGTAATTTTAAACATTTCTGTGAAATCGGAATTTCAATTGAGTTTACCGTTTTCGAGATATTTACAAAAGAAAATCTCCTAATTACGTCACTAGGCTATTGACAACGTTGCCAGCTTTTTCTATGGTTGCCAGTGTGTTTAGTTTAAGATTCTTACGTTAGATGGCGCCACGTTATAATATTTTAGTTTTAAAACCACTTGATCTACAACTTTAATTAAGAAGAAGAAGAATTGAATTTTTGACGTTTCTTTTTTTCGGGTTATGTTTTTTTTAAATTTAGATTATTGAAAATAAATGTTATTGTTATGTTATTTGTAATTGATATTATTGATAACGGACTCCAAAGCAGAGGAATCTTGTGGAATCGTTGGTTACATTGAACATTGGAGCTTTTAAACAAATAAAGTAAGTATAATTATAATCATATTTTGTCGTAAATGCATTTCATTAGTATAGTGCCTAGTTCTTTATATTCTTTTAGATATATCTTGGACTCTAAAATATCAAACAGTAATATGATACCTCTTAATAAGGAAGATAGGTACTTAATGAATTTGGTGACCATCTGTTTGAATAATTTTAATCAAAATGTCTATTTGTAGACCCTGCACTATCTTTACCTACCATGTACGTTATTGCAGCAATATTTAAACCAGAATTGTCGAAAAGTACAAAAATGTACTCTAGAGCATAGTATCTTCGAACACTCCAAAAGTTTGGCATACCTACATTTTTTTAATCTTACAAAAGGTTTTGATGCTCATCATCAGGGATGCAAGTTTTATAAAAACTATACACAAATATCATAAATACCATTGTTAATTTACATTTACTGTTATTTTTTGTAAATTTATTTCATTTTCAGCTTTATTTTGCCACTTTTTGCTATAAAATATATTAAACTCTGCTTTAGACAGTTATTAGCAGTGTTGCCAATGTACGTGGAAATCCACGCATTGTGTGGAATTTATTTTGTTGTGTGTAATACATATGTAAATGTGTGGAATTTGCGTGTAAACTTTATCTTTAAATTAACAATGCTTATAACAAGCATTTAAATATATATATTTGCAAATGCGCATTTTAGTTATTTAGTTATATGAACGAATTTCTGTGCAGATTTCTATATATACAGAAAATTAAAAAAATCTGGTGTTTTTGGAAACTTGCAAGCGTAAGTTATCGAGTAACTTAAAACCGGTTATAACAATAGACTTTTTGACAAAGTAGGTAAGTAATCTAGTAAGTTTTGAAAACGTCTTTAAGTAATCACCAGTAATTACCGCAGAAAGCGTGTTTGTGGTGATTCACCTCAGAAACTCTTTCTGCGGTAATCACCAAAGAAACGTAACAAAACCAAAATCCCATGTGTGGAATAGTTGGCAAAATTGTGGAATTTTGACAGAATATGTGTGTAAATTATGTCAACACCATTGGCAACACTGGTTATTAGGTACCTATTTATTACATTTTATTAGGTTTCACACGGTGTTTCAATGTGTAAACCTATCAATAAAACTTTTAATTTCAGAATTTTCTTTAACCTCCTCTTCTTCTTCTTTCAGTCAACTGACAGTGACAGTATTTGTACATAACCTCTTCGGGTATTTTCTGACATAACCAAGTGAAATCATTAACAAGACAACTTGACAACAGGCGAGGTTTGTGACGTCATAAAAATTTATATTTTTTGTAAATATCTCGAAAACGGTAAACTCAATTGAAATTCTGATTTCACAGAAATATTACAAAACGCCTTGAATAAAACCATAAAAAGTATAGGTCAGAAAAAATTTAACTACCCCATTGATATTCGTGTGATGATTTAAAAGAGAAAAGGGTAATACCTTTTTTATACCGTGTTTTTTAAGTTAAAATTAAAATTTAAGAATAACCATTTACAACAAAGAATTATTTTTTATTGCTAAGTGATATTTTAAGCATTGAACATAGTTCATGTATAATGGACAAGCAACTTTACTTACATCGATTTCATCTGTAATTTCCTAAAAATATGTGTATGGATTGATATAATTTGTGTTTATTTATGTATAGTTACATACATACTGTATGTAATGTACCTACATAAATATCCGACGAAGGTTTGGTTTCGGTTACTGCTCAAAATATACCGAATAATAAAATCTCCCAATAAATGTTGGCTTTTTAGTTCCAACTTTTATGTAAATGGTAATTTTAAAATTTGCATTTTTAAAATCCAAATTTATTATATTATTTTTAACGACAACAATATGCTTTTGTTTTGGGTTTAGATTAAAAACCAAGTTTCGGTCGGACACTATTTAATTTAACACATTTTACCTCCCAAAAACAATATCAATATTGACTCATAAAATTACTTACCCTTTTGACACGATCCCCATCTTCTTTCTATACCCAGCAAAAAATAAAAAAATGTTAAATCATGCAATGTAACATTCTGTATTAAAAATGTAAATAAACAAAACTTATTAAAAGCCCAGTCATGATGATATTATATATTATTAGTTCATGCAATGCCAAACTTAACATTAACATTTAATACCTTTTTAGACCCCACGGTTTTCTAATACAAAAATTAATAAATTTAGAAAACAATTCCAATAAAAACAAATTAATAATTTTGTCAACAAAATAATAAAAAAAAAACAAGATTGATCATACCTTTCCTTTGCCTTTTTCGTCGAAAGCGTCCTTTGGGGGCTTCAAACGGGTCAACAGTTTGTATGTCAGAAGATTCCTCTCGAAAGATTTACCACGGAGATCCACAGCTTTGTCCCATTGTTTTTCAGCCAAAGCCTAAAACGAATTTAAATGCTTGTTTTTGTGCACGAAATAATCAGTGTTAATACTTACTGCAGCAACAGCTTTTGTGCGCTTAACGCATTCCATCAACGGTAGCCTTACAGCTTGATTTCCCTCCAATGTGATCACGCAAGCCTCGGTGTTTTCATCGGCTTCCATCAGAGCCATTACGGCTTCAGCTCCCATACGGCAACCCTGAAGGAATTTTATTTTTAAAATTTAATTTTCAGATAACGATATTTGATTAAATTTTGTAGTATACGCTAGATTTCATATATAAAAATCATTAAGAGACAGGTCCGGTAATCTCGCTGGCCAGCGAATTGTACCTCCATTGGTATTATTCTGTGGGGGAATATTGTCTTTAAATAAAATTGTTGTGGTTTATGCTGAAATCAATTACATGTCTAACTGAACAAAGAAATTGTGTTTGGCGTAAGGAATTACATTAAAACAACCATGTAATTTATGCCAAGGTATATGGCATGGTTTAATAAAATGTTTATGTGGCGTCCAACAATTCAATATTTGTTAAAGCACAAAATGAAACCTATTAAATTAAATAACAATCTGATAAATATTTTTTTTTGTTTAATTCTTCGTCAAGGTACGAAGAATTAAACAAAAAAAATATTTATCAGATTGTTATTTAATTTTGGTGTAATCCGTTAGGTAATATATTGTGCAATAATAATATTTGTAATTAGGGAAAAAATATAAAAAAATATTTCAGTTAATATCCATTGTGGGAGGGGGGCAAATCAGTCCATTGCAATGCATTGATGCGACTTCTCAATTAAATCAAAATGTGCCACAGTGTATTATTTCGAAATGTAAATAAGTAAGTTTAATATAAAATTTGGCGGAGACTTTTTATATTAAACTAACCTTAACAATAAGTTTTTTAAGAAGCTTAGGAATTATGATAAAACCTAAAACATTTAGCCATTATGCATATTTCCCAATCACGTCTTAAGGTGGATTTAGCCAGCATTTAATGTAATGTAACGTAACGTAATTAATGTAACTTAAAGAAAAATTGTGCCATTTATACATTTGGTATATGTTTGTAAGCATGCGCAATGCAGACGTGTTGGTGTTTTTTGAAACCGATGTTGGCCAGACTATGGTTGACTGAAAATTATCTTTTCTTTTAAGCATTATATAATGTATATATATATACAAAGCAATATAACTAACCTTGATAATTATCTTTACTTCTAAGAACAATAGTAGATTGTTCTACAAGTAAAGAAAAGTGAGTTTTCCAGTGAGTGAAAAAGGTTGGTTGGTACAAACCAGTTTACACGAGCTGGAAAACGAACTTTTCTTACGAGTTGAACATCCTATTTTTTTGTATTCTTAATGAAAAAAGTGGAAAACTTGGGAATATTATTTTTTTACAATCTTTAACATACTTGCTTATGAAAAGTAAATCGTAGCAACGCATGACAACAAATTAAATAAAAACAGAATTTTGTCGGAAGATGAGTTTTTTTGAAAAAAAATGAGGGTATTTTGGAAGCCGCGAGAGAAGCGACTCAAAATCTGCTTCCATCAAAAGAAAAATATGATAAAACCAATGAACAATCCTGTCAATGGGGAAACAATCAAGGGGTACAAGGTGTCAGTAAAAATGTTATGCTAGCGTTTTTTTGGGAAAGGTAAGAAGCTAATGCTTTTAAAAAATAAATTTTCTAATTTTTTCTTGTATTTTTAGTACAAAAATCTGAAGGCATCGTCACTGTGGAGTACGTTGCAAATATATGAAGGCAGTGACATTTCAAAAGCAAAAGCAATGCGAGGGGAAGAATTACGAACACTAACAATTAACGATATAGATAGGGTTACCAACTATTGTAAATAAAAATATAGGACGTCGGATGTCTTGGTCCGATTTAGGTTAGGCAGCAAACAGCCCATAGATTAAAATTTAGAATGTACTTAAAAGAGTACTTAACCTAAGCGTTTATTTTTTCAATTTTTTTCTAATATTTTTCAATTATATTTTTATTTTGATTCCAAGTAACAAGTTAGGTACACAAATATTTATATATTTAATAAATTAAAAATACAGCATATTTCATTTCTTTATAAAAAAACAATAGACTATTTAGTCAAAAACATAAAATAATAATATAAACATATATAATAACATAATATATAATAACATAAAACAAATAAATAAAATAATTTATAAGGCATAAAAATATACAGGGCGGATCTACGCCATATCACGCTGTAGGAGGGTATAAAATAAATTTAATTTTTTTTTCGTTTTTTAGTTATGAGGGTTTAAAAATTATAAATATTTTAAGATTGTTTATTTATATAAAAGGGTAAAAAACAATTTTGTTAACGCGTGTCAAAAAGAAAAAGTTAAAAATTATTTATAATAAGGGGTATATTCTTTAACTTTTTAGTTATAAATAATAGGTTTATTTATAAATATAGTCGCCGCGGCGAATGTTCTCCGTTGGCGTCATTAATTCCAAATGTCAAAAATCGGTTTGTCGGAACGGAAAACATTAGCCGCGGCGACTAAATCGATGAAATTTTAACTCCAAATCGTATTCTAGAATTATATTAAAATATGTGCTTAATTTTTAATATAATTTTATAAAAACAAAAAAAAAACCTTGCGAAAACTATATTTTAACCAACCAAAATATTATAACCACTTGAGGCTTATTTATAATAAATCAAAACAAAGTTAGGATACATTTTTTGAAGCAAACATCAGAAAATACACTTTTCAATCGTCGATAATTGACGATTGAAAAATGTATTTTCTGATTTTTGCTTTAAAAATTATTTCAGCTCTCTGTAAATGCATTAATTTTGTTTCCATAACCACCTTTATATGTCTCATAAATGGGCTTAGGAAAACAGCGTTGTCGAGTTTTTTATACTTAAAATAAACACCCTAGAGTGTCGTATGGCGTAGGTGGGGCTTTTTCCGGACACCCGTATAATATCGTCGCTGTGGAAATCAAGCGACAAAGTTGGCGAAATAGAGTTGAGAACAAAAAATCATTTTAAAACATTCAAATATCGTGGTCAACGAATTTGACCCTCAAAATGCTTTAACGTAACGTTTTAATTAGAGAATTTTGTGGCCCAAATTAATTGACCACTACATGTTAATGGTTTTAAAATGCTTTTGTATACTCTATTTTCATAGCTATCGGATTTTTTCAAAAGCGTGTTTTTTATTTTTATTTAATTTTCTTAAGCGTATTCAAAAACGCATACCTAAATTCTACAAATCTAGTTTTTGAGATATAGGACATATAGGACAAATTGATGAAATATAGGACAATATAGGACACAAGCGTGAAATATAAGGTTGTCCTATTGAATATAGGACGGTTGGCAACCCTAGATATAGAAGAGAATGAATCAGTTATTATCGTACACTACGTAATACAAAAACGAAAAAGAAGCGAGTTTTTACCATAACTTCGAAAGTAAACGGAATTGAGTTGTACCGGAAGTATTCTAAATTAAGGCCACAAAACACGAATCATTCCAGATTTTTCGTTTGTTACCAGAATGGTAAATGCACTGTGCAACCATTTGAAGCTTCCTGATTCCAATAGCTACACAGGGCATTGTATACGAAGGAGTTGAGCTACCATGTTGGTTGATAATGGGGGCTGTATTCCTGATTTGAAAAGACTGGGGGGATGGTCTTCAGCATCCTCTGCTAAGGGTTATATAGGAGAAAGCATTCAAAATAAAATTCAAACATCGAAGAAAATTTTTAGAGGCTTCAATCAACAGGAAACTTCAAAGGATGACTCTTGGCACACTTATCCTTATTATGATCATATCAACTATGGATGTTTCATTAAACGAATTTTCCAAAAGTACAAATGGAATTTGATTCCAAAATATATCTAATTGTTAATTTAATATTTATGAACATAAAAATTGTGAATAATTTTTTTTTGTTAAATGTCAGATTTGTCTGTGCCACACAACCACAGACTCTGTGGTTGTGTTACTAACTAGTCAAATGTTGCTATTAAAGTGTTGCTAATTAGTAAAATAAATTATTTCTTTATTAAATGCTGGCTAAAAATGGCTGTTTTCCATTAAGGACAATATAAATAACCTTCAAACATTCGATAGGAAATTTTGTTGTTGCGAATAAGGTCAGTATTAAGCCGGGCAGGCGCAGTTTTATTTTCATGTTATACATATAATTTGCATTATAACTTTACATTACATTACGTTACATTACATTAAATGCTGGCTAAATCCACAATCCATGTGTGGATTGTGGCTAAATCCACCTTTATTTGCCGCGGCAAATGTTTATCTGTTGCTAGGCGGGCGGATAATATATTATAATGGTTATCATTACATACTCGTATATTGAAAAAAAACAAATAATGTCAATTGTATGCAATAGGATCCTACTCGAGTAGGAAAAATCTATATAAACAAAAAAAACTACTATTCTATAATACTATGATATTAACATTAACATCTATTATTTATACAAGAAATATATTCTTAAATTTAATACAATAAAAGATTCATTTATTTGAACAAGAAGAACTTTGGGAGCACTTACTATTGCATAATCTCTTATTTTTAATACTGTTTTTTCAGAACTTTGTAAAATTGCATTTTTGTTAACCTTGCTTAGTACCAGAAGGAATTATATTTCATTTTGAGTAAATCGTCGGACAAAAATGTAACAGAGAAGTGACATCAATGCATTGAAATGATTAGCCCGCATATTGGCGGTAACATACAAACAAGATTAAATTAATTCGGTTGTTTATTTATTTGATACACACAGCGTCAAATGCGAATCCGACTTTTGTCAAACGTTCGGCCTGAGTAGCGAGGAAATATGAAAGACCTGTATATAAAAAGTATCTTACCAAAACTCTGTCGAATGCCGAAGGGTTGCCACCACGTTGTACGTGCCCCAAAACGGTAACTCTTGTATCTTGCTGCAAATTGTCGACAACGACTTTTTTTACTTGTTCGGCTGTGATCGGTTTACCTTCGCGATCGATCGCTCCCTCGGATACAATGATGATGTTTAAACGTTGACCATTTTGACGCTCCTAAAAAGTTTACCAAATCCTTATTCTAATTTGTATAAAAATAAAGGGTAAAAGAAAGCAAAGAATAAAGTTATTATTAGTTCAGTCTAACACAAGCAAATGTTATGCGTTGAAGTCCAATGCATTAGTAAGCGGGAGGCCTCTTGAAAAATGGCTTTTAAAAAAATTAACTGTATTTTATAATTGCATGCTATATAATTAGGGATGATTTTGAGGAAAAAAATATATAAACGTAGGTCGCTTAATTTTGTAGATATAGGATATTAAAATTTAATAAGTTAGTGAAAAGTTGAGTAATTAGAAGTGTATTAAAATGGTATTTAAAAATTTAAAAAAAACATCGTTTTTCAAATGATTTGAAAAAATCTAAAAACCTGTAAAAGTAAAAAAACATTATAAGTTCGTTGTTTCTGTGAATTTTAAAAAAAGTAAGTTTCATTAAAAAAATTAATAATAGCGGTGAAATGTTCCGGCGGCACCCACTACCTACCTACCCCCAAAATCACGATATAACAAGTAAATTGCCCCTATAGACTGAACTATTAATTTAACATTTATTATTTCCTTCAAACCCCTTAAAATACATTAAAGCAAGCTAAAGCACTTTATTGACCATATTTTTTTGAATATTTTTTTTTACTTTGGGCTCGCCTATAGCCACATTGATTAGTTAGAAAATTGAAATTAACCTGTAACAATTTTTTACACATTTTGTCTGCCCAGTTCGCATGATACGGCTTTTCTGGTATAAACACGAAATCAGCTTCGCTCGATAAAGCAGCTGCTAGCGCTAAATAACTGCAAAACAACGTTATACTTGTATAAACATGCATTACATCTAAAATTAGCTACATGTTAGATTTATTTAGTTATAAATTGTGTTTTTACTATACTAAAGAGAAATTATTGTTTTTAACATGCATTATTATAATATACCCAATAAGCTTTCAAAGTGTGTTAGCACAGTATACATACAGTATACACTCTTATTTTATTTTATCAATTTAAATTTTAAAATGGAGGGAAATATGTTAATTTTGGAGAGCTCTTATCTCAAAATATCAGATCGATTAAAAATAAGGGGGCGCTCACGCTTGCTTTATGGTTATAAAAAAAGAAAAAACAAAAATTCGAATTTTAATTATTTTTGCAATTTTTCTGACAAAATTGACCATGGTCATTTTTTTGCATGAATCGTTTGGGGCTTACACGAAAAGCTTGACCCCAACTTTGCCGTATCCTACCCCCTGCGGATCAAGGTTACAACTGATTTTTCTCCCCTACAATTTATGTCTATGTCCTATGGGACGAATTTTTAACGCACTATTGTAAACAAGAAAGTTGTTTAAATAGAAAAAACCTACAAAAATCCATTGAACTTTTTTTCCTACAATAGACTGTTGACCGTTAGTGAATTTTATTTTAATCGAAAACGGTATGTTTAAAAAATAGCAGTCGATGCTCTGGGAAAAAAAAAATTAAAAAATTAGGTAGGGCTAAAGTACCCAAAATAGTGTTTTATCGCTTTTTGACCCCAAATAAAAATTTTAAACGTTGCACTGTAATTATGGAAGTTGTATATATATATATATATATATATATATATATATATATATATATATATATATATATATATATATATATATAGGTATATATATATATATAATATATATTAGGGTGGGCCAAAAAAAACTTTTTCTTTTCTTTAGCTACCATGAAAATATCGTCCAAGATGACGAAAAAAAAATTCTGATAAAGTTTCAGCTCTTAATATCAATATTAAGAGGTGGCTCATCGCGATTTTTATTTTCCATTTAAATAACACGGGAAAAATACATTTTTTTTTGTTTGGAATTTTATTGCGTTTTAACGAATCAGTGAGTTGTAGAAATCAATACATATTCTTGTAGGGAATTGAACGATCTACAAAAAAGATCTCATATGATTTTTTGCATAGTCGACTCTTTTAAAAGTTATTTGAGGTTAAAGTTCAACTTTAAATAGTAAATGACTTGTACTCAAACTTTATCAGAATTTATTTTTCGTCATCTTGGACGATATTTTCATGGTAACTAAAGAAAAAAAATTAAAAGTTTTTTTTGGCCCAACCTAATATATATATTCATCGAGCGATGTCCCTGAGATGAAAGTGCGATGCACCACACACGAAAGACTAAATAGAAAAACCAAATTAAAATTGATCATTTTGAAATTTAAATTAAAACATAATGAGCTGGCTAAATAGATTTTAAGTAACCCAAAGGCCATTACCCCTAAACACAGTACTGTGTTCAGATTTAAGAAGAAGAAGCCCACTTTTAGAGTTGTTTAACGTATGAGCATTTTAAGTACAGCCCGCTGCACAATAGCCCGGTAACGGTAACGGGAATCTGAACAGTAAAGGTGGGAGAGACTAAGAAACCACCGTTGATAGATAGTGTTTGCTAAGTCTCTCCCACCTTTACCGTTTAGGTTCCCGTTCCCGTTACCGGGCTGTTGTGCAGCGGACTTACGTTTGTAACACTAGATAAATAAATGTTACAAAAAAAAATTAGGCCATCGCCTCCCCCAAACAGAATGTCTGTATACGCCCCTGTTAAGATGTATGCACTATAACTCCGAAACGGTCTATGGTAGGAAGAAAAGTTTATATCAATTTTGTGTTTTTTTTAAATATAATTAGATAAATTTTAAATTTTTTGACCCAATGCCATGGTAGGAGACAATGCACCCTACATTTTTTGTTCACAAAAATGTAATCCAAAACCAACCGTCTTTTGAGAAAAATGAAATCCAAAAAGAAACAACAAAAAAGTTTTTACCTTCATCCGCAGGGAGTATACTTCCCATAGGAAGTTGGGTTAACCTTTTATTATGAGTCCTAAAGGATTCATGCAAAAAAATGACTAAGGTCAATTTTTTTACGTCTTATTTGCGAATGTTTCTTTGTGAATATTATGTAGGTTTTTTTTCATTTCAAAATTTAATATCTCAATTAATAGTTGTTTATTTATAAATATAATTTGATAATAATATATTAATTTGTAATTTTTGGAAAAATATTTAATTTTGAATTGGAATGAAATATACATATTAAACAAACATTTGAGACCCAAATCCAAAAGGTAACTATGGGTTTGAGATTTTTTTACTCAGTTTTAAAGTTACTTTAAAATCTTAATCCTTAACGGTTTTATAATCTCAAAAAATAATATATACTTTTTTTTAACAGAATTCATGGATCTATAATTTTCATAATGTGAAAATAATATTTTCAATAAGGTCACCAAATTTAATAATTTAAGGTAAACTGTATGAATACTGTGTTGTTAGTAAATCCGATTGCAAAAGTTGCACGTAGTCACACTTTGTACCTGTTCCAGTTTATCGCAAAGACGTTTTTGCCAATCATCTGGTGGTGGGCTCTCGGGCACGAATACGTAGTCCGCTTCTGATGTCAAAGCGGCCACCACGGCTAAATACCTATAACATTTTTGCGCAAGTGGCTCCTTAGTATTGTAGAATGACACAACATGGGGTAACAGTGTAGTTTTTGATTAAATTAAAATTTAAACTTACCCACAATTACGACCCATGACTTCCATAATGAATGTGCGTTGATGGGAGTAAGCGGTACTGACTATGGCATCAATTGCTTCAATAATACTAAAAATATAGATATATTTAATAAAATAGAATATAGTCTTAGTCATATAACTTGGGTACATAATATGTACATGGTTTTTTCATATTAAAGGGAAATTTACATTAAATCCTATTGTAAAAATTTTGCAAATTTACTTTGTTGTTCTTACCGGTGGAGAGCACTGTCAGTACCAATGGTCATGTCGGTGCCACAGAAATCGTTATCAATAGAACCCACCAATCCAGCTATTTGCAATGTTTTGCATTTTTCCCGTTCTTCCGCCGTGATTTGATTGGTTTTCAAGAGTTCTTCCAAAAGAACAGACCATTCTTGTCTAAACAAATCGGCACCAGTTAAACTACCATCACCACCAATGACAACTAAGTTAGTGATGCCTTTTTTCACCAAGTTTCTGGCGGCCTTTAGACGACCTGATTTTTCCCTGAAAAATTTACATGTTAAAATTCACTTAAGTTGCATCTTAAAATTCGTATGAATTCAAAAAATAATTATCATTATAAAAAAAGGTATAAATGAACTTTACATTTACATTTAAATATTTGCACTTTTTAATGTATAAAAACATTTACCATTTACGATAATGTGCATTTTTGAATTGATAACTATTAGGGTTATAGTATTAACATACAAAGGACAGGGATGTAGAAACTGGGTACCTACAAGTGGTGATCGGGCGGGACACTGCCATATCAGAGACAACAGACTGGCCATATGGCATACAAATTTTTACTTTTATTAATACTTTTATTATGTTTGAAAGGTACTGGAAAGAAGACATTTAAAATATATTAAAAAAATTATGAATGAATTGTATTTTGTTATGGAAGCTAAAGGGGTAATTTAAATTCAGTGTCGTACAGTATTTTATTTTGTTAACTTAGTTTTAGGTATTAAAAATACTATTGAAAACGACATTTCTGAACAAATCGCCACAAAACAAATAAATCCGTTACAATCCGGGAAACTTTATTTTCCAGCCGCGGCGATTTAAAAACCTGATCCTAGCAATCCAGTACGGTTGAATATGGTTGCATTTAAGATAATTTACCTATCTTTTTAACAAAAAATATAATAACAGTTTTTAGGAAAATTTTTAGTGGAATAAATATTCAGAAAAGTAGGTAGTTTTCTGAGAAATTTTAAGTGTTTAAACAAATAGATTGATTTTAACTGTTAAATAATAAAGTTTATTTTTTATATAAATTGTGAAAGTGCTATTTGTCCAGTCTCGTCCCAGCCCTCGAGCGAGTAAGTCGATGTAGCGGAGAGAGTAAACGTATAACGTTAAAACCATAACCAACAAATATGCCCATAGTGCAAACAACTATAGTGTAACAATTCAGTGAGTACAGACTACTCTTCTGTCAATAATTAGTTAAGGGCCAAGTGAAAAGGAAAAGTGAAGTGCAAACGTACATAATGAAACGGTCAAAGGAGTTAATTGTGAAGTGACAAGAAAGTTTTAAGTGACAAGTGTCAGTGCCTGAGCGGTCGCACCATCTGTCAACAGGACGTTTTCCACTGGTCAAACAAAAGAGGCCAATCAAGGGGACACAGGCCACCTGCAAATGATTGCTAAGTATCCTCAATTTACCCGCATGACCTAACACATAATTTGCAAATTAAACTAAACAAGGCACATTGCCTAATCCCTACAAAAAAACAATAATCATCGGCAACAGTAAAATAAAAAGTCAATTTTCAAAGAAAAAACCAAACAGCCGATCGCGGACACACACCAAAGTTGAACAGGGCAATAAAGCTGTCAACAAAACAATTCAAGAATAACAAACCGAGACCAATAAATTTGACACTTAAGACATAACACATAAACTAAGAAAACATAAACAAAGTAAAAAAAAGCACACTAATCAATATCCATGGAATTTGTACACTAAGACCTTATAGTAAAAGTAAAAAAAATACCCCCCACTGGGAACTGCCTTATCGCAGCGATTGCGGCCTTACGCTCGGCACGCGTGATGGGCTCCTCCGCGGAGGGGTGCGGCCTCCCGTGGCCTCTCCGGGGGATGGTCTACACAGCGGTAGTCGTAGTACGATTGCCGTTGTGTGGATTGTCTTCCGGGCGGGCCGCGGGGGGTTGTATTTCTTTGCGGGGGAGTTTATCATGTGTGCCGATTATCGTACCAATGGGAAAAACCATTACCAAAAGGGTAAGAGTAGCCCAATTAAAACATTGGGCACACGTCACTCGTAGACAACGCAACAACATACTACAAGCCACCCTTAAACTAGATCTTAAAGACAAAAAAGTCGGTAGACCATGCTTCACATTTCATGACACGTTAGCACAAAACATGCACTTCTCACAAATTAACAAGACCAGTTGGGAGCAACTAAGCAACAATAAAATAAAATAAAAAAAAACAACCGACACACTTTACCAAGTTCAGGAACTATCCGACACGGATAATGACAATAATGAACAAGACGAAGACCTCGACTAGGAAACTACACCCCTGCAGCGTAATAACAACTCCCCAACTCCAAATAGTAATCCCAAATGTTTGGAGTAATACTAACCGACTGGTCTAGGGGGATTCCGCGTCGTACTTAGTTTTAAGTCGGCGTAATTGTCCCCCAAAAACCAACTCCCTCCCGTCCCTCATCCATACCCCACTGAGCGTATAGCATAGGCCCGGCGAACCCGGGAACGGCTATTATAACTATACGCCTCTCGCTCTCGAGCCCCAAATAGGGGACAGTACGGAACGCAATGGACATTCGCACCCAGCAAACACGGGTGAAGCCGTGCAGTTGCTGGGGAAGAACAAAAATCGGCGTAAGTAAACATAGGCCTGTACGGGGTTCGAGAGTCAAGAGGAAATGGGGCTGGTTATACGTCTCTTATACTCACTACTCATACTCAATTGTGAAAGTGCTATTTGTGTACAAGGAATTTTTTGTATATTTTACCATTACAGCTTTGAGTCACAAATGTTGCAATAAGTGATTAATTATTTAATATACAGGGTGAGTTTTAAGATGACGCATTCCTTTTAACAGCCTGTAGAAATCAGATAGCCAAATAAATATTTTAAGTAACTTTTTTATCAAAACTCAAAAATAAGCGAGTTATAGCCATTCAAAGTTTAATTAAATTTTGAGACAGTCCTGGCTATTGTTAACAAAAAACATATCCATAAAAATAAAAATAACAAAATAAACAATGCAAAATGTCATCTATGACAACAAACGTTAACAATAATTGAGGCCCAAAAAAAACGTAAGTAAATAATGACATTTTTCATTGCTAAATATCATTTTGATTTAAATGGTTATGTTTTTGTCATAGACGACATTTTGCATTGTTTATTCGCAGAGACTACGTGCACGTTAGAGTGCCTGCAATTTAGTTTTTACGGGCACGCTAGTGACGTAATGGATGAAATTCGTCATACATTGACGTGCCGCCAGGGACCCTGGCCCAGGGTTGCCAACTCTTGAGATGCACATTATAGTATTTTCTCAATTTAATAGAAGTTAGAATTTTAATAAAGACAGCTTTTTTATTATATTATACAATATATATTATCTATTTTCAAAAAAACGTTTGTTGTGACAATAACTCCAATTTCAAAGATAGCGTAAAATATAAATATTCTCTTATTGGCGACACAGCTGTGCAATGTTGCTATCCCGTAAAAGATGAACAATACGAAAACCGTTTTGTTTATAGATTTCCGTACGGGAATCTATAAACAGCACTACGGTTTTTGTAAATTACTTCAAACTTGTTTAGTCCACTTTTATTTATAAAATCGCCTTTGATTTTAACTTTTAGAAAATTTAAATAGTTTTTTGTAAGGGGTCGTAGGTCAAAATTTTGTTTAGATTTTTGTATTTTTTAGTTTAATATCTATAATTGTTGTGTTAAATATTTTCAACAAAAATATCAACCGATATTATTTAAGATTTTATTTTCAAAACGTCTTTAGAAAATAACACAATTTTTAAACCCTAATTACTCAAAATGGTGCGAAATTTTTGGAAACTATAATCGAAATTACATTATTTGATTATTAATAAAATAATAAATAACAAATATATAATTAAGAAATTCGTCACGCTTAACGTAATATGTTTATCGCGCAGGTCTGACTCACCCTCTTTTTTTGTTGTTTTTGTTAATAATTATAATCCCTACAACGTAATCAAGCGTTCAGTTGGAATTTGGCTTTTATGGGACAAACATGCTCATTTATTACTCTTATCTACATCAACAAATTGCTAGGTATTATTAGAATTCTAACGCATCTATTAGGTCAAATAATACTACGAATATTTTTGATATTTTAAAAAAATAAAAAACATAAAAGTTGCAGTCCTTAAATAGTCTAATTGTATTTTTTTCCAGGACCAACATGCTAAAGCCATGGCTATTAAGCCAATGGATATTAAGAAATAAGACAACCATATATATAAGGATAATGGGATTTAACCAGAACTCATCAATAAATTTGGCAAGTACCAATTTATTATTTTTAAATTTTTTGACTAAAATAAAAGTAGGTAGTTTTTTTAACTAAATTTTAACTAAATTTCTTCAAACTTGCTTAGTCTACTTTTATTTATAAAAATTTTAGAAAATTTAAACAGTTATTTGTTGTTTAAAATCAATATATATATATATATATATATATATATATATATACAGTGTGACCCATTTGTTTGCGACTAACCCCTGTAAAATCTTTACTTATTGTGCGATTTTAACCGGATTTATTTTAAAGTGTAGATCTTGATAAACTGTATTTTTGGAGCAAAAGACGCATTATTAGTACAAAATGCAAGGCCTACTATGTCAGTCTTTTAGAGTAAATTTTTAAGAATTCATATTAGAGATTTTTTAAACAAAATCTAAGCAAGTAATAGTACCATCGAGTACCATGTTACTATTAGTTTAATTTTATTTCAATGTTTTTTCATGGATAACTTGACAGAATAAAATTTTGTAGTTATTATTGTACATTTTTCTACTTAAAATTTTTCAATAAAATTTAATATAGGGTCGTTTTGAGGGGTGGTGAATCCAGTGCCGAGCTTAGATTTGGTTTAAAAAAATCGCTAATATGAATTCTTAAAAATTTACTCTAATTAATTAAAAAACTGACATAGTAGGCCTTGTATTTTATACAAATGTGGCGTTTTTGCTCCAAAAATAACAGTTTATCAAGATCTACACTTTAAAACAAATCCCGTTAAAATCGCACAATAAATAAAGAATTTACAGGGGTGAGTCGCAAACAAACAGGTCACACTGTATATATCTATAATTTTTGTGTTAAATATTTTTAACAAAAATATCAACCATGGTTGCAATTTGATTCTTATTTAAGTTTTTATTTTCAAAACGTCTTTAGAAAATAACACAAATAAAATTAAATTTTTAAACCCTAA